ACAGTCCAGAGGTATCTAGACTAAGGATGTGACTGCTCCAAACTAGCAGTAACACTCATCAGCGCTTGTGCAGCTCACAGCGTAAGGTGTAACAAGGTCCTTAAGGCCTTATTTGTAACAGGGAAGTGTAAAGGAAAACCCATGGCAAGTAGCTGCTCTTCTGTTTTTCTTTAACATTTACACACCCACTTCAAACATGGAGCTCAAGCAGCGTAACTTAATGCACCATTGTTCTCAAGTGACATTCACCTGCAGGAGACGAGTTTAAAGTGTTTATCTTTGTTGCGTGGGTTGCTGCTGCTTGCAAGCTGTTCACAACAGAAACGCCATGAGTGGGCCAGGAGCAATTCTGGAAGATGCAACTCCAGCCAACTTCATATTAGCATGCACTTTGTGATGATGTTTCCCATGCCCGTTCGGGTTGAATGTTAGGGTTAGAGGTGCAAAACTCTAGAACTCTTGGTTCAGAGGTGATACCTTTTATTAAACCAACTAAGAAATTGCAAAAGAAGGAGCTTTCTTTGCAAGCTTTTAGGCACATGCACCCTTCCTCAGGCTTGGGGAAAATTAAAGCTGGTAAAGAGTCCCTGTAGGTAGAAAATAAACTTCATTTTGCACAGAGGAAGCTGAAGGTGGAAGTCTGTTCCCCTGGGTCCATGGGGGTCTTTGTGAGTTGCTCCTTGATGTGCAGCTAAGGCAGGATTCCTTCCCTGGTGGTCTCAGATAGCAGAAAGGCAGGGAGGTGTAGAAATCTTTCTTTGTTGTATATGACCTGTATTTAAATGCATGTTATCTTGGGGAAAGGTCTTATGGGCTAAGTGATGTCTGCAGCTAGTTGCACCTGTGCAGCTCCAGGATTTGGTGGGAACTGCATTTTCTGTGCAAGGGTCATCTTGGGCTATCTGTGTATATTTTTCGTACAGCTCTGTCCCGGTCCTGTTATTGTAGCAGTTTGCCCTTGCAGTACCTTTTATTAGAGGTTCTCATAGCACTTGTATGAAAAGTATGCCATCTGCCCCGTTTTTTTTACAAAGCTCATTTGTAGCACCAAAGAGAATTGGGGGAGGAAATGCATTGGCTTTATGTCCATAATCCAGCAGCAGGCAAAAGGGAACAGCAGTGTGTGCACACGTGTGTGTGTGGGAAGTGAAGAAAAGGCTAGATTTTTAGGGACAGAAAATTGGCCTAAAAGTGAAGCCCGCCTTGAGCCGACTGGGCCCCTGTTTGGCAATCCGTTTATGCAGGACTCTCATTGACGTCCATGGGAGTTTGATCAGGCAGGGGGATTCAGCTACTTAGCCTGCGCGTTTGGAGAGGGAAATAATAAGACATTAGTCCTTGTGCAAGTCTGTATGTCTTTCTGCCTCCATCTGCTTTTCCTTTTCCTTTTCGAATCAGTCCCACGGTGGTTGTCACCAGACCATGAAAACCTGCTTTTTGCAACTGTGACTTCCTTGGCACCTGAGGGGTACCGGGAAGGGAAAAGGGGGAGAGAGAAAAAATGACTCTATGTAGCACCAGCTGTGGTCTAGGTGCTTTACAGATAAGTGTCTGGCCAATCGCTCTGGGCTGAAGAGTTTGCATCTACATTGTGTATTAAAGATGCCTGTTACAAGCTTTTTCTTGGTTTATTTTCCTTATCTTGTGTTAGAAGAACTTGGACTATGAGACCTTTACATATGAGAAAGATAGCCTTAAGGCCCTGGACTCTCACTCAGGGAAACGTGGGCTGTGTGCAGACTGACTGTGGGAGATTGTACAAGTCACTCTGGCACAATTCTCCGCGAAGGTATTAACACTTCCTTTCTCCACCCTTTGTCTCGTAAGAAAATAAGAACTGCTATTTACTGGGTCAGGCCATAGGTCCATCTTGCTTCTTCGGTCACACAGGGGCAGAAAGCAGATGCTGAAAGGGAGAGTAAACAGGATATTACCAGGGTTTTTTCCACTGTTCCTCTCTACTGCAGCCTCCAGCATTTAAGGTCTAGGCTCAGAGGCTGTACCCCTCACTCCCATGCTCAGTAGCTACGGATGCCCCCTTCCTCTAAGAATTTATCTGATCCCTTTTTGAATTGGGCTAAACTGTCCGCTTCCACAACATTTGGTGGCAATGAGTTCCACCTTTTAATTACACACTGTCTGGGGAAACCACCCCCCCCCCAAATTTCCTTTTGATAGTTTTAAACTAATACCTACTAGTTTCATTTGATGACCCCTAGCTCTCGTACTGTGAGTGGTAGTAAAATAAGAAGTTCCTATTTACTTTCTCGGCACCATTTCGTATGTCATAAACCCTTATCTCCCCCTCGTGCGTCTCTTCTGTCTTATCTGTCTAGATCAGTGGTTCTCAACCTGTTCTGGACTCGAGGGCCCCCTCCATAACTTTTGTGAATTGACTGGCACCCGATTTTTAAAAAAAAAACTGATGTAACCCTTCTGCCAGGCACTGGTCAGCCACAAGAAGAGCTAGGTTCAAATTTTGGGGTATCCAACAAGTTTTCACTGTGGCTTGAACCTCCACCTAGAAATCTGGGATCACTAAATTTGGCACTATTTAATGCAACCTACATAAACAAAACCCCCTCCTCAAATCTCCCCCCCAAAAATCCAAACATAATTATATTTAAACTAAAAATACTTAGCAACATGAAAAACTAGAACACATTTTACAGTAAAAAATGTCTGCTACCTTTCATGTGGATTGCGTTAAATAGTGCTTACCTCTTTGCAGAGGGGCAGTAGGGGTGGGGCATTACCCAGGCAGGGACAAGCCTGAATCTGACATATCTCCTTAGTGTCTCTGGTTATCTCCTTATACCTCATGACACCCATCAAAGGATCTGGCAGCACCCCAGGGTGCCCTGGCACCCTGGTTGAGAATCATTGGTCTAGATAGTAGAAAACCATCCCTGCTTTGAACAACTCAGAGTAAGTATGTACAGTGACTAATATAACTATGTTGGTTGGGGCCAGTAGGCAATGCCTCTATATTACTAAAAGCAATTTAAATATTTTCTAGCATTCCTTTGCTAGGCTAACTCATGGAAGATGTTTGAAAACACAAAATACTATCTAAAAACAGCTTTTTAAAAATGTGATTGTATCATTGGACCATACAATGTAAAGGATGCACAGCTAAGCATACCCCAAACTGTTATAAAGAAAATGCAGTATATTGCAAAATATTAAACTTGTGTGTTATGTTAGCTATTGACTTTTTTTGGTTTATTTACCATTTGTTAATTTATTCAAAACTGCTCTTTAACATTTTTTTTAAATTAAAATTTATGATTTGGCAAAATATATTTATTGCTTGTACGTTGAAGCTGCCCTACACTAAAGAAAGAATCTAGTTGGGATTCTCTGTTGCTGTAAATGGGTGTAGCTCCATTCATTCCAACACATCAACAGAGAATCCAACTTCCTCTTCTGAGGTTTGGAAACAATTTTAGGGCCCGGAAGTTGACTGTGCGATATGACTGTGCAAAGAATACAAGATTGGGCCCCTACGTTTCAGCTCTGAGAATTGCTTTGCTCATTACCCCTGGGTCTAAAAGCTGTAGACTTCATTGTTTTTACTTGGTTATTTTTTTGTTGGAAGATGTGAATGAAGTTCACAGAATCATAGAAAATGAGGGTTGGAAGGGACCCCAGGAGACCATCTAGTCCAACCCCCTGCTCAAAGCAAGACCATCCCCAACTAGATCATCCCAGCCAAGGCTTTGTCTAACCGGGTCTTAAAAACCTCCAAGGATGGAGAGTCCCCCACCTCTCTGGGTGACCTGTTCCAGTGCTTCATCACCCTCCTAGTGGAAAAAGTTCTTCTAATGCAGGGGTGGGCAAAACGGTGGATCCAGCCAGCAGCCAGACTCCATTTCCCAGCAGCCCCTGCCTACGTCTCTGCAGCCAGCTGGGGCATGTGGGCAGTCGATTGCAGCTCTGCCCTAGCTCCAGACCAACCTGTCACCACAGCAAGATGCCAGCCCCAGAGCAGCTCCCCACCCAGCTGCGTGCCCTGCCAGTGCTGCTGGGGCCAGTCTCCATGGAAACCCTGGCCCCACCCTGCCACATCCCTACTGTTTCTGGGGTCTCCATGGAAACTGGGTGCAGTGACATGAGCAAGAGCTGCTAGGAAATGGAGTCTGCTGTGGGCCCAATCTGGCTTGAGGGCCGGACTTTGCCTGCCCCATTGTAATATCCAACCGAAACTTCCCTTGCAGCTTGAGCCCATTGCTCCTTGCTCTGTCATCTGTCCCCACTGAGAACAGCCCAGCTCCATCCTCTTCTTCACCCCATTTTAGGCAATTGAAGGCTGCTATTAAATCCCCCCTCAGTCTTCTCTTCTCCAGGCTAAATAAGCCCGGTTCCCTCAGCCTCTCATCATCAGTCATGTCCCCCGGTCCTCTCCCCATTTTTGTTGCCCTCTGCTGGACTCTCCAATTTGCCCACATCCTTTCTGTAGTGGGGTACCCAAACTGGACACAGTACTCCACATGTGGCCTCACCAGTGCTGAATAGAGGGGAAGAATCACTTCCTTTGATCTGCTGACAGCACTCCTACCAGTGCAGCCCAGTATGCAGTTAGCCTTCTTTACAAGGGCACACTGGTGGCTCATATCCAGCTTATTTATTGTTCACTGCGACCCCCAGGTCCTTTTCTGCAGAGCTGCTGCCCAGCCAGTCAGCCCCCAGCCTGTCCTGGTGCATGGGATTGTTTCCTTCTAAGTGCAAGACTTTGCACTTATTCTTATCGAACTTCATGAGCTTTCATTTGGTCCAATCCTCCAGGTTGTTGAGGTCTCTCTGAATCCTAGCCCTCCCCTCCAGTGTATCTACTCCTCCTCCTCCCTCCCCGCTCCAATCTGCAAACTTGCTGAGGGTGCACCCCATCCCATCTTTCAGGTCATTGATGAAGATGAATTGCTTTGGTGCAGTTCTCTGGTGAACTTGCCCAAGGAGGCTATTGCTGATGCTTTCCTTTTTTTTTTTTTCCTCCTCAGCTAGTGAATCGGCACTTGTATTCGGGGAGTGCGGACCGGACAGTGAAGTGCTGGTTAGTAGACACTGGGGAGCGAATCCAAACATACAAGGCTCACAGACACAGCGTTAGCACTTTGAAATACCATGCTGGGATCTGTAAGTTGCTTTTCCATTAGTTCATCAATCCCCCCTCCCCCTCCAATATCACTTTCCCTTCTATGTATGGATGCTTACCTCTGATCAAAGGTTAATAACACCATAGTTATGAGATGCAAGAGCTTGTGAAATTTTCACTTACTTTTCCTTCTACTTCAGTGCTTGGCAGCAAATTATGACTGCAGAAAATGCTGATATCCAGAAGTGTAGAGGGAAAAGAATTGTAGCATTGCAGATGTCAGAGGGAAAGGAAGGAGCAGGGAAACTGTGGGTCCTCTGCTCTACAGAGACGGTAAACTAGTATTGGAAAGTACAAAGAAGGCAGAACAGCTCAGTGCCAACGAAACAAACTGTTCAGACAAGAAGTGAAATTAATATGAGGGAAGACAGGGAAGGACTGCACTTCTTATAAGTCTTTCAGAGAATTTTTGACAAATATGAACGAGTTAAAGTCAACAGGACCTGAAGAAGGTGACTCCAGGTGCAGAAGGAAGTAGCTGAAAAATGTCTCAGAGCCACACATGCCAAGTCATGGATGACAAAGTGATGTCCCAGAGCCTGGAGAAGAGATACCATCATGCCCATCTCTCTTTTTCTTTAAAAAAAAGGGAAGGGGGAAGGAAGATGGAGAAATAACACACCATTCAGCCTGACTACTACAGCAAATTATAGAACAATCAACATCTGGAGGAAGAAGGGGGGATTACTAGCAGCCAACCTGGATTTATTCAGAATAAATCATGCTGAGCCAATTGGATTGTCTTCTTGGACAGGAGCAAGTTAGAGTTTGTTTTATTTATTTATTTTTCTTTCTTTCTGTTTTTTGGTAATACCTTTAATTAGACCACTGGAGTAGTTGGGAGAAATCTTAAAGAAGCTTTCTGGCATGTGATGCCCTTCCTCCAGTTTGGGGAAAGAAGTAAAGATGACCTTAGCTAAATACCAGGTCAGGGCTGTCCAACTTCTGGGCAGCCGGGGGCCATAGACCCAGGGGCTGCATGCTATAGGGGCTACAGATCGAAGGCCACATGCTGTGTGGGCAGGTAGGCACCTCTCCCCCCGTGAACTGTCCAGCACTCCCCTGCGTTTGCACAGCATGGGCATCCTGACTCCCCATTCTTCTGGCTGTCTGCAGTGCATGCTGTCCAGCCCCTTCCTTGTGCCCCCCTCCCATGAAATGCACAAGGCAGCCAGCCCCACTCCCTTATCCCAACCGTGTGCACCATGTGGGCAGTTCCCCCCTGCCCCCCGCCTGCAGCACAAGGCAGCCTCAGCCATGTGTGCAGCACCTGCCCCTCCTCTTCCACAAGCACACACCACCTGCTTGCAGGACGGGCAGCCCAGCTCCCTTCTTTACTTCTTCAGGCACTCCAGCCCCCTCCTGGCCCCCAGGGCAGGAGCTGCTGGGCGTGGGGAGTGCCAGCTTGGTAGCATGCTAAGTCCTTGGGGGCCACCAGTTGGACAACCCTGCACTGGGTAAAACAATGTTTTGGGTTTTTTTTAAATTCCATATGTCAATGAAAAGGGTCGCTTAAGGAAGTGAGGATGGCAGAGAAATCTGCTGTTGGCAAGTGCAAGATACTGCACGTTGGAAAGAATCATTTGAACTCAGCATGTGCCGATAATGGTCAAACAATGATTAGCTACCAGGATGCTTGACACACGCTGACTGAGTGATTATGATCAGCCTCCAGCCAGCAAAACTGACTTCATAAATCAGGGCTGACACTTTTTTTTTTTTTTTTTGGAAGTATTCAGTGCAACTAAGCTCAATGTAATCAAGCCTAGAGGCATTATACTGGCCTAGATACACTACTGGTTTATGGTATCTTCAGTGGGAGGTGGAGAGGGGAAAAACTCACCTTAATGAGACCTTGAGAGAGATTCCAGTCTGAAAACTGCTCTTTCTCTTTAACCCAGAAAGTAAATGGGCCAGCAGTCACCTTATTTGAAGCCCTTGGAACAGAGTGCAAACTCAGATGCCCATCCTGTGATGCTACTCAAGCGTCACAAGGTTTTTGCACACTTGGCACTCTCTCCTTTCACCCCTTCTCTATTTCGGTAGCACTCCACACTCTTCCTGTGACTGCGCAAATGACATTGCTACATTTAGCCAGTTGGGAGGAACATCTCGTTAGTGTGACTAAAGTGTTCACAAGGTTATTAAAAGCCAAAAGATGTCAAACAGGGAATGCTGAAGTGTCCTGTTTGGGAAGCAGAATGCAAGTGGACATGGAAGAACGCTAGTCGTTGTTCAACTATTACCAAATCAATATTTAATTTTTTAAATCTTTAATCAGACACACACTGTCCCAAAGAGTTTACAGCTGTAATAGACAAGTTAGAGATCATAGAAGGGGAAAAAGAGATGGTTTCTTTTACAGCTGCCCAAGATCACATAGGGAATCCGTGACAGATCTGAGTGCAGGGCTCCTAAATGTCTTTCCAGTGTCGTAAGTACTAAACTGCCTTCCTCACTCTACTTTTTAAACTAATAACACTGTAGATTATAAAGACAAGCTCTTCAGCGCAGTTTGTCTTTCAGTGTTTATGCTGCTTGATTGTCTCTGACATTTCTGAGCGTGGGCAGTGAAAATTAAGTAAGTTCTCGCTCTGCTACATGTCAAAGGCTTTAAGAACAGTTGCTTCCTTTGGAGTTTAAGCAAAACATTTTTGTTGCTTTTCCTGTTGGTTTTGCAGGTAGGTGGAGTACAGATTTATTTATACAGAATCTAAATGTCAAATGAAGTTCAGGCCAAGAGTGCCCCTTTTGAAGCTCAATGGTTCAGTAGTTCAAAGAAGCATTATAAATCCTGAATGATAGAGGGATATTTGTCAAAACCAAATTCTGAGAGAGAGAATTGAACTATAATGAAAACTATAAATTGAAAGCCCTTTTTTTTTTTTTACTGAGTTACTACTTTTTTTTTTTGTTAAGTGGGTATTTGGGAGTTCAGTTAATGGTAACAAATAAAGCAATATGATTTTAATTTACTAGAAAAAAGCCTTGTATCTTGTTCTGTAATACTGTACCTGCTTGAGTGGCAGATGGTGGTTGACTAGTATAAGTTTGTCCAGCTGATATCCCATCCAACCATTGACCAACCTGCTCCTGCTTCTGTTTCATGGAGGGTATGATTCGGGGTGGAGTATGCCATAGGGTAAATTTACCAGCTGGATGGAAGATGGGCAGGCTCTTCTGGCCTCCTCTCCTACAGGACCAGTGTTACTAAAACAGGATTAAGGACAGGATTACTAAAGGACCAGTGTTACTAAAACAGGATTTTAGGACACCGTTTTGTGTCCTGTAACTTCCTCTGTTCCCACTTCCAGAGACAAGCGTGTTCAATAGTTTCAATAAGACTTGATTTTCCTCTCATGTACGTGGTTATAAATAAGAAATAGTGAAGTTACACTGGTAGAAACATCTGATGTTAGGAAGGGGAGAATCCATCCCGTCTTTCTCCTCCAGCTGTTTTTCAGGTGTGTACTTAAATCTGTTCTGAACTGACCTTTTCTGATTGCACAAAAACGACTAGGCGAAAATGGCAGCCCCTTAGCATCTGAAGAAGTAAGCTGCTGCTTACAAAAGCTTATCTACTTTTGATTTAGTCAGTCCATACGGTGGAAATCTACTCTACCTTAGACCTGATTTTAGACTACAACAGCTACCTACCTCTTTGTCCTAAAATAGCCTCACTGCCTGTCTCTGTTGCAGTGTTTACAGGAAGCGGTGATGCCTGCGCCCGCGCTTTCAATTCCAAGACGGGTGTCCTGCAGAAGATCTTCCGAGGACACAAGTTCATCATAAACTGCATTCAGGTGAGATGGGGACTTTTCTGTATGTTTGTGTGCGTTAGAGGGGAAATGCAACATCTGGATCAATAAACTGCAGTGTAAGCTTCTCCCTATATTATTACATGCTAGCTACACCTGACAGCAACATCTTTGGACTAGTAAGGGATATGGAGAAGTGTCCTACCTGTCCGTCAGCCACAGTAGGGCAGAGTACTGCTTACAACACCAGTGTGTGGAGATTTGCTTTTGTGCTTCTCCTTAGCCTTAGCGGTAGCACATTGTCCATAGCTTAGGAAACTAGAATCTGAAAAGACCTTGATTACGCAAACCCTTTGGCCGTGTGCACTTACTAATATGCCAGGTGATGATCTTGGACAGTGAAGCAACAGTCCTAGCCTGGTGATGATAAGTACAGTACAAAATACCCCAGATCCCTCGTCCCCCAGTTGCAAGCCTGCAAGGTAAGAATGATGTGGTTGTGATGAAAGCCACTGGGGAGTGATGGGCTCTCGTGTACTCTGTAGCATGCATGGGGGCGCTTATCCATGTTCTTGCTAGCTGCTGCAAGGAGTAAGCTGGTAACTGTACAGTAGACTTTCAAGATATAGGGACTGAGATCTCTTGTGTTCCCAGCCCTGTTTATCGCAGTGTACACTAGCGCTTATAACACGCTGATTGTACTGTATGCAGGACACAGCTCTGCAATAGATTTTTCCCTGAAGACATAAATCATAGGCTTTGTGTTTTGTATCTCTTAATGCCAATGTGAAAGAAGTGTAAGGACTGGTATAGACACACATGGCCTAAGGAGGGCAAGATGGACAGAGAAAGGGAGGAATGATAGAGGTTTTTCTCATTAAGGCTTTCACTGGGGAAATGTTCAGAGGGGAAAGAAGTGGCTCGTTAGAAAACCCAAGCTGTACTTTTAGGAGAATTGCAGGCCAAGTTATACAAGGTTTCAAAGAGAGAGAGATTTTAGAAGGGATGTTGTACAGATTGCTGATTGCAAGGGGAGAGGAGCAGCAAGAGGAGGGACTTCCTGTAGTCCTGGAAGCACCAAAACATTCAGGTCCTCAATGACAAGCTACCCTTCATCTTCCAAGGCAGGCTTGGAGCTCTCTGCTAGAGCGCCATTGAAATGTGACAGCCCAGTTCTGCACTGCCCAGCACCGAGTATCATAGAAACAACAGCATTGCTCACATACTGCTGTGCACGGTGGGTGCAGAAGCATGAGTAAGTGGAGCACCCTGATCTGGAGTACGCTGATGTGTGAGCTGGTGTGAATGGTGTCAAAAGGAGCCAGACAGTGGGGAATCAGGCTTTACCATGAAGGACTAACTCTGCTATTTGATCCCAAGCTGCTGTGTTGTTGTGGTGCTGCTGAGATGTCCAGTTTGGGATTAAGTGTGACCCTATTGTTCCAGATTCACAATGAGTTATTGTACACAGCTTCCCACGATGGCACGCTAAGGATCTGGGACATACGAGGAATCTGCAAGCGGAACAAGAGGCGGCTGAAGAAGGAGAGGTCTGTCCAGGTCAGGAGCTCCCAGAAGGGCAGTCTGTCGCGCCTCTTCAACAACAAAGTTGGCTGCATGGTGCAGCAGGAGAATGGAGAGTGCGAGGCCGTTGAACTGGTGTGACTGCCTGTCTGGCCATGACCAAAGCTGACATATTTCCTTCCTGTGCCACTGGGTGCAGATGAGCCAGACCTTGGAAAGGGGGTGGGGGTGGGAGATAAACTTGCCTGCTGTGGTCCGGCAGGAGCTGAGCTTCTTTGTGACTGTGAAGCAGACTCCGCTCAGGCTGCCTCTTACTGATGACTCGCAGCATCTCTGTGTATCTCAGCGCAAACTAAAACAGCCTGAATGACCGGTCGGCCCTGGGGCAGCATTGGGGTTGGGAGCTATTGCTGAGCAGGGCCCAGGTTATCCACCTTCCCCTGTATTTTGAGTGTAATTATGACTTGTATTTGCCTGCTCTCAATTCCAGTTCCACCCCACTGCAGCCTGACTGCTACGTGCTAAGAGAGATGCTGCAAGGCAGTGAGCGGATACATTTTCTCCTCCTGTCTTGGCTGCTTGTTCTCCCATGCCACTGTTCAGCCGAATGTCTAAGTGAAAGCTGCCTTGCAGATGGCTCTGAATTCAATTTTCTCAGCTTGCTTTGGGATTCATCCTGCTGTGACTCAGACAAAGAGAACGTGGCTGAAGCCCGGAGCAGCATTCATCCCTCTCAGGGGCTTTAACTTGAAGAACTGAGAAGGGGGCTTTTAAAAAGCAGCCAGCCAGCCACTAACCAGCATCTAAGGCCTAATCTTGAATCAGACCTGAACATCTTCAGAAGCACGGCAAATTACCCTCTTCCCAGCAAGCTAAGAGATTCAACTGGGCCATTACTTTTAAGCATCCCAACACCCTTCACAGGGCAGCAGCGGGGGCCTCCACTTTCTGCAGTGCTAGGAGGAGTGTGTAGTACTAGCATCTCCCCACCTCCACACAGCTCTGGAGGGATGCAGAGCAACATGTGGCTTCCATGGGGGGGCCTTGTCCCTGCTTTGTGGGAGGTGAAAAGAGAGGTTTCATGGCAAGACTTTGTTCCCAGTGTGAAATAGTGGGGATTTGAGCAAATGCAGCCCACCAGCATGTGTGCATGGGACCCCATCTGTCTTCTCTGTTAGGCCTGGGTCACAATCTCCTTCCAAAGCCCTTGCATCTCTCAGAAGTGCTGCACGTGCCCAGACTCGGGCTGCAGGAATGGGAATCAGGGTGCAGGCATATGAGTAATTTACCGCAGAGCAAAAATGGGCGGGGATTTATTGCACATCAGGTGAGTTGCAATAGGCATCCACATGCACCATATTCTTACACCGTGATAAAGGGAAGTTAAATTGTGGTAACTTACCCCCCTTTCATCCAAGGCAAAACTGCAGGGGCTTTGCTTCCACACACCACTTGCTTGTGAGCAGTTACTGCAGAGGAGCTGAAGCCCTGCTCTTTTCTACGCTGTGATAAGTTGTTCCTATGTGGATACCCCTGGGCAGTATCCTAGGACCAGTAGTGTCTTTAGGCTTGGCTAAGCACTTACCTAGGGGTGCTTCTCTCAGGCTTTTCCAGATTTGTTCTTCCTGATAACCACTGAGCCATGAATATACAAGTGTCCTTATTGTTGCAGATATAACACACTTTGTAGAATCAGTGAAATGACTAGTTAGCCGTGTGTGTTTTATTTTTGTGGCTTTATTTATTCCGTCCTGTGGCAAGATTAAAATGCTGTAATACTTTTTTATGATTGAGTAATAAACATGTGGCATCTACAGATAACTGAATCTTTAGTTGGTGATTTCTTACTTCTCAGGTTTGCGGCAAGTAGCAGTCAGAAAAGGATGGGGGCAGGAAGAGGAAACACATGAATGTAAATGTTGAGACTGTTTCCCTCCTCAGATGGGCTGGACTTGAGTCAATCTCAGGAGATATCCTGCTTCCTATAGCAATTTGGCTGCCAAAATCCAGATTGTTCAATCAGCTGAGAGGGGAGGGAGTTTGAGCAACTAATGTGCAATAAAGCCTAGAGGAAAGGTTTGCTGTGCTGGGAGCCAGGACTTTAGGGCTGCACCCCTCCCACTCACTGCTGCTCTGCCTGAATGTTTCTGTGTACTTCAAAATGCATATCACTGGGTAAGGCATCATTTTACTTCCTACAAGGCAGGGAAGTATTTCCTCCCTTTGTCCAGCTAAGGTAACAACTTCTGAAAAGCTGGTAATCAGAACTGATGACAGATCGGAATTACAGTTACACAGCTACATTGCTTTTAATGTATGTGCTTGCTTCCCACCTGTAACCTCCCCCACCTCCTCCCCCGTCCAGCAAAAACCACCACCCTCTGTCTAGCAAAGGTTGAATAAACACTGCCAAAGCCACCATCAGAATGGCTAATTCACAGGAAAGACAACAGCTTGCTACTGTTATCAGTTATTCCTCCAGGAGAGGATCTGTACTATGGATCTGGAAGAAGAGAAAGTACATGATTATGCAATTTAATGGCTGCTGTAGTCAAATATATTTGAACAGGCTGCCAAAGCCCTTGTGTTTAGCTACGGAATAGGGAAAGTCCATCGTTGTGCAATGAGACCCGACATATCTTGGAGACCTTGTTATACTTGGTCCTTCTGCTGTGAAAGGCTTTGCTGACTCCTATCTGTAATTCCTTACCTCCAGTGGATGGAAATACTGTAACCCTGTTGGCTGGGACAGGAGTTTGTATGTTAAATTCCTACTTAGAAAGGCAGGACCTACATTTCTTCCGCTGTAAATCTCTGTCTTGGCATCAAAGAGCTACCAACTGGTCCCGTAGGAAGTATTTACACCACGGTGGTTCTCTCCTGTTGAAGGAACAGCTAGCTGTCCTTTTATCCAATTACGGCCTGTAAGCTCAGTGTTGAATACTGGGAGATCAGCTGAATAATTAGTACCATATTTTCTTGCGTGCAACACCTCTGACCACACATGTTGTTTCTGGAAGGAAGAATACTTAGGGGGAAAATGAAGTTTTGGGATTTTTTTTGTTTTTTTTTTTTTCTCCCCCGGAATCATGGCTGGAATCTGACATAAAATAAAAGTTCTCCTGGGAACTAAGTGTCCAAGAAGTGTAGTTTTCCAGGAGACAGTTTGATGAGGCAGCAGACAACAGAACTTCTTGGTGTGATAGAGCAAGTCCTCCTGAAAACAGGGTCCAAGAAATGTGGCATCCCAAAAGATGGTCTATGTCCCAGACCCTTGCAAGGGCAGCAGCAAGGCTGTTAGTACTGTACTATAAGTAGTGCTTTATAAGTTCCTGTAAATAAACTGGTTTCCACATCAGGAAGCTCATCAAGATACTACCAGTGGCTCACTTGCTGCTTCAGGCACAAGCTACAGTGCTCAGCCAATAGCTGGGATCATTTGATCTCAGCAGTATCCCTGCCCAGCGCAGTGGGGTTGGATTTGATGATCTTTCGAGGTCCCTCCCAGCCCTTAATTTCTATGATTTCCTATGATTCCTATGGTTAACACAGGATGCTGCCTCTTCAGCTGAGCGAGACAAGCAGCAGCCATCTGGGTAGCTGCATGGCAAGCACAGTGTCCCAAGGCTTGCTTCTTTACTGCGGAAACAACTGCTTCCCCACTTCATATGCATGCCCCAATTTTGGGAGGCTGATTTTTTTTTTTTGGCAAAGGTGAGTACTGTATGCAAAATAATACAGTAGGTGTCTCGAGATCAGAGAAGGCTGATTCTTCTGAAGGTCAGGGTGTTCTTACACTGATGCTCAAAGTTTTAACCTAAATTATTTGCATGTTACCTTGGCTAGACGCAGCCTGGTCCATAGCAGCTGTACATGCCAAGATGACAATTGCTCTCATCAGAAGTAGATGAATGAGTCACTTAAATAGTGCTGCTTTCCTGTTTTTCATCTCATCAACTCAAATATCCCTAAATGTGTAGCTGAAATGACCCCCCCCAAATTTTTTCCAGCCAGTATTCTTGCTCTGCTGCTCACTTTAATTATAGATATTCACAATTTGTCACACAGGCTTGTTTTGATTAGTTACATAATTGGAGGAATTGTTGTTCACTTGACAACAGACTGACATAAAATAGTCGATTTTTGAATTCCCACATAATAATTCACTTTAAACCTGAATGCTTGTTATCATTATTTTACAGTTGCATTAGCAAAGCTTTAATCCTTAAGGAAAGCACAAGCAGCAGGGGAAGAACCTAGTTCAATCAAAACTGCACTGCATGCTTATAACTGCCTGGTTAGTTTTTCCCCACCCTGCTATTAATTCTGCTTTACTTTAGCCCATAAACCATAGCTCCTACTTCTCAGTACCTTTCTCAGGAAAGGATGTTACATTCTGTACCCAATGCTAAATTAGTATTAACCTTTCAAGTAATGAGAACCCTCAGCTCCCATTGGCTTCAATGAGAACTGAGGGTGCTTGGTACCTCGCAGAGCTGAGCCCTGAAATCCTGTAAGTTCAAACTTCTTCCTTGTCCTCCCAGAGCAGCTGTATAGAACAAGGATATTATCTGTTATCTGCTTGTTTCCAGTTTAAGGGCTGGGTTGACCTTTTCTGTATATTGGTTTCATTTTGGCCAGAACCTGGGTGACTTTTGAGATGCGAGTTGCATTCTTGAAAGAGAGTCAAATCCAGTGTGCCATATGTTCTCATGCACAATATGCACCTTTTCCAAAAAAGCAGCTGCTGGAAATTGTAGTGCAGATTATATGTGAAAAATACAGTAAAAAGCAGCTTCTGCCATTTACTAAGCAAAAATAGAAGTAAAATCTGTAGAGCCAGGAAGCAGAACAATGAACAGACTCAACTCCCTGGCTGCTGCTGCTACTCAGTTATTGTAAGGAATGATTTCTTTATTCTGCCTTTCAGAAACAAGGTGCCTACTTCATTCCAGGGTGTGTTTTATGCAAGAAAATATAATATTTTACTTTTGCAATGTTTGTTTTCTGGCTGTGCACGGAGTATGATATCAAAGTATCAAGTCCATACACAATACCCTATTATGTGGTCTACGAGGTGATCCAATTTTGTTAGAAATGAGACAGTTCTATGAACTATATCAACACCCCTTATTCTGGAACTTGACGGTTGTCACACTTATGGCCTGCTGATATCTCCATCTTACTTGCCTTAAGATGGTGCTGCGTTCCTTCTCTAGAGGCAGGGAATCCAGTGGAATTGCAGGGTATAAGGATTCAGTTTGTTCCAGTTAAAAGCAGGCCTCTAAATGGCATGTAAATAGCTTGCTAAGGCGAGTTTTGGAGCAACACAATCTGGGCTTAAATAGAAATACTAGTGACACCAGCCACTGCCCTCATGATCCCTCCCTCCCCTGCCCATTATGTTCTTCATAAAAACAGTGCCATTCAGACAAACCATGGACGCAATAGACAGGATATGAGCTCCCTCTACTGAGACGATAAAGTTACTGAAAATATCTTCCCATAGTTTTCTCACTGCCAACCAGAAATGCCTGTCAGAAATGGACCTTCTTTTAGCATTTGTGTCTGGAGGGCGTCGAGGCTCAGGATGGAGGCTAACTGCATCAGAGTGCTCTGCAGAGAACTGCTGCGGCCCAATTTTGAAGGCAGCAAACCGAGGAGTGGGGTGACCTTCCCCATGCTCTGTTCCTTCTTAGCTTAGTACCAAAAGTAAATATTTGTTAAGTGAAAAAGCAGAGTGGACTCACCTGCCTTCCTCCCTGAACAGCCCAGTGCCACCTTGAGTACTTGAGTGATTGTGAATTTATTAATTGAAAATGTGTCCCTCTATCATGCCCTTTAACTATTCAATGTGTTTGAGTCAATCCAGCCAAAATGGGGCCAAGACCTACCAACTGCCTCCAACTATATTTTTAAAAAAAGGTACAGAAAAATCCCAATATAAGCAATGGAACATATTTTTATTGGTTGCTTATGCAATGTCTGACATGAAGAATGAGAAGGCAAGGCATCAAATCCATGCAGAAATGATTCATAAATGATTTTTGGGAAACAGTATTTTAAGGAGAAAAAAGGTAAAATGGCCAGCTCTACAAAAGGTATGCACTTGGTTTCCAATTCGCAAACTTAGGTTTCTTTAAAAGCTGGTGTTGCGAAATGGTGAAAAATATTTCTTTGCTGTATAAAGTAAAGGGACTAATTGCACACCTATAGAAATATATATTAAGCTTCTATTAAATTTTTTTTGAAAATATGTTTCCATTATGCTGCTCTTTGACAATATATTATAATGAATGAAAAAAAATGCATTTTTATAGATTAGCGATAATTTAAAAGAAGATCACTTTTCATTTAACTGTATTTAAGGCTTTGGCAAAAATAAGCCGAGGATGAATTTAACATCTGAAACTTAAGAATCCAAAATGTATGTCTGTTATGTTGCCAAAGCACATCTATAACTGAACTGTGGGTAATGAGTCCTATGGCTGTGGGATTTGGATGTAAGATAAGTATTTGTCAATGATAGATCCTTCCTCTTCCAGAGTTAAATCCAGATAATCTTCTTCATGTTCTGGAATATCCTCCAAAATTTCATTGACTGCATCTACTTCCATGTCTTCATCTGTTGATGAACTCGAAGTACCTACATATAAAAACACAGAAGTTTTGCCAATTTTCTCATCTGAAAAAGCTTAATTCCC